CGCGAGACTTTGGAGGTTTTCCCCTCGACGCGCATACAGGGTGCTAAATTTCAAACGTAACAGGTAAAAAATCTCGAAAACTATGAAAGATATTAAAAAAAAGAAGCTGAAACACGTGTTCCATGATTTCAAAGGGGAAAGAGAATGGCATTACCAGTTTTTTATTTGGAGGGCATTTTCAAGGTCAGTTGAAGGTCAACTTAGTTTTTTAAAATAGAAAGCTCAATCTTTTATTTTATCTCACTTTTCTACCAATTAATCTTAACAACTTTTGTCTGAAACATTTTCTTATTTGCCTAATATTTTTTGAAATATTTAAGGAAAACTTGGTAACTTTTTCAACATTTAACTTACGATATCTCGTTAACTATTCGTCGAAAGAAAAAATAGTATTAGACTTTTTTACTTTTATTTATCATTAGGAATATATTACTATAATAGTGCCGTAACTTTTGTTCATTTAATAATTTTGAAATTTCCAAAGGTCGATAAATTAACAAAAATTAGGGCACTATTATAGTAATATATTCTTGATAGTAAATAAAGTAAAAAAGTCTAACACTGCTTATTTTCTTCCGACGAATAGAATAGCGAAATATCGTAACTTAAATGTTGAAAAAGTTACCAAGTTTTCCTTAAATATTTCAAAAAATATTAGGCAAATAAAAAAATGTTTCCGACAAAAGTTGTTAAATTAATTAATTGGTAGATTAATTTATTAATTGGTAGAAAAAGAAGATATAATAAAAAATTGGGCTTTCTATTTTAAAAGATTAAGTTGACCTTCAATTGACCTCGAAAATGCCCTCCAAATGAAAAACTGACAATGCCATTCTCTTTCCCCTTCGAAATCATAGAACACGTGTTTCAGCTTTCTTTAATATCTTTCATAGTTTTCGGGATTTTCTACGTTTGAAATTTAGCATCCTGTATATCGAGTAAAGCTTCGCAGCGACGTCTCCCTTTCTGCGGTCGCGAAAGCGGGAGAAGGAGAAGCGGGTGAGAAAATTCGGAGGAAGAGACGGGGCGAGATTTTGGACAGAACCGAAACGTATCGGAGAGAAAGAGAGCGGAAATAGCGGTGAGAGAATGAGAGAGGAAATAAATTTCAAGTAAAACATGCTGAAAGACGGTATTGCCCCGTCCGCTTTTAGATCTCATGCGATTAATCGGACGCTTCGAGCGTTCTTCGGCGGTATACTCGTTGCACGCCGGTGCATTCGCGCTGGGCGCGATCGATGCGACGCACATCTTGTCATTCGAAAAGTTGAATTAATCAGCGCAGCCGATGCGTGCACGCGACGTCCGTCGCGTTTCGCGACGACCGGGTCTCGGGTGGGCGCGCGTAGATAAGAGATATCGGTTGTGATATCGTGCGAATAAATACAAACGCTGTGCCCACTGTGAAAAGATCTGGCCGGAAGAGTGGAATCACGGAACGGATGCAAATTTTGTTGCACTACAACTGCGCACGCCGGACCGAATCGACTAAAAATCAAGGGGGACCAACAACAATTTGACAATGTGGGAATTCGAGCTGTAAGAATTCACTCGATGATAAAAGATTAACGGAACCGGAACGCGATGCTGTGTGTATGTATGCGTGTGTATGTGTATGTGAATCTGTTCGAGCGCCAACGAGTTAATCGAACTGCACAATATGAGTTTTACCTCTAATTGGGAATTAAGTAAATTGGACGATGAGTATAATCGGTAATCTGCTTCCGGGTCAGCTTCGCAATTGTATCGTTGAGATCGACTCGAATTCGTTTTATACAAGTCCAGTAGATCAAATGAACACGGAAACACTTTGACTGCAGAATCGGGGCACGTTGCTTTAATGAAAATAATTTTGACCAAAGAATTACGACATTTGCGGCGACTTTCATCAAGTTCTAATTAAGCTGATCGACGATTAACTTGGCCGGTAAAGCTGCGAGAAATGAAGCACAGTTTGCCATTTTGAAGCAAGTAAAAGCATCCTCTTGCTTTCTCTTTCCTTTTATGATGCATATTTTTGTATACGAATAGAAAATAAAATTGCTGTTAGTAATTGTTACCAACCGTTTCGTTTCATCGGCACACACACACACACACACACAGATACATTTTGTCAACATTCTATATCTAGGAGGCTATTGATTCTTTTGTTATTGTTGATAGTAAACTGCTAGCCACAAATTACGTAGTTAAAAATTACTGCTGCACGCAAAGAATTTTTCTCGAGGATACGAGACGGATATTTTTCACCCAGTGACCTAATAATCTCACCGTGAAGGTAAATTAACAAATTAAAAATAACGTTGAACTAAAATATTATCAAGTTTACCTTGCTGGGACGTTCAAACATGCGGGCTTTGCGAGTTACAATTTTCATATTTATAGAAAGATATCAATTTACGATAAATGCAAATTATCGGAACATACGCGCCATGTTGTTCAAGAAAAATTCTCCACGACCCCGTTGACTGTTCGTTCGCCGATCGATTCAGCATTTAATCAGCAGGTTTGCATCGAAAGTCAGCAAAATCTCAGTGCGCTATACACACAGCAACCGGCCAAAATGGCCGTTCGTTCAACTCACAACTCGGCCCCGGCCCCGCGACGGTTTTCTCTTCCCATTCCCACAGTGCGACGAATATCCGTGTATATCTCGCGAATAACAAACATTCCCGACGCGCGTCCGCGTCGATGTTTCAGCTGCGCTAAGTCCGCGCGACGAAGCCTTACCTCAAGGTTCCTCGGCCGCGAGTCGGTCGAGCCGCTACTTCCGGCGCGTTTGGCGCGCCTCGCCGAGAAGAGGATCAACCCGACGCTGCGGCAGCGACGTCTCCGTCTGCTGCGAAGAGGCTCGGCTTTCTTTCCGCACTGGTCGCTCGGGATCCCCAGGTCGCCGCCGGGCATCTTTCAGTCACGGGCTTCGCTGGCGTTTCGCGCGCACTCTCCGCCGGCCGGGCCGATCACGGCGGCGACGGCGACGACGACGGCGGCGGCGACGGGCTCGTGTCTTCTTCTCACCTCCTTCGTCGCCGAAGAATCGCCGCGGGCCCGGGCCATTGTGAGCCAGGTCGCGTCGGGTCTCATTGGAGCCTCGCACTCGACTCGACACGCGGTAGCGTACGTGCACGACGGTGCCGGGGCGACGGCCTCCGTCGCCGCCGCTGTTTGCCCCGTCGTCGACTTAGCGCGCGCAAACACGCCGGCCGAGTCGATGAACTGACAGCTGTCAACTCGTCGCCGCGTGTCGCGCGCTACGTGCTGCGCAACGCGCCTCAGCGCGCATTTCGCGCGCTCCGGCCGCAGGGGCGGGGAGGGGGGGGGTTGCAGGTGGGCCGAGTCCTCGGACACGTCAAAGCGCCGCTTCGTGTCGTCTCAGCAAATGTCACATACCGGCGACTCGTGGGACTCTGTGTGCTTTTGGCCACCACCACCACCACCACCACCACCACCACCACCACCACCGGACGCTGAAACGGGGAATTCGGATCGATGGGAAATTCGGAAAGGCCGCTCCTCTTCTTAGGCTAGCTCGATGGTCGGGCCGAGTACGGTCCTGTTTGGCTGATCGCGTTTAGTGGGAATTCAAATCAGGGCAGATTCGATTGATCGAGAAGTCTGATCGTGGACTTTGGGCAACGAAGAGATCAAACGGACGCTGAGACCGATATAGCTCGCGCCGAACTCTTGATCGCTTCATCCAATTCTTCACCGCGTAAGTTTTCGGCGATTATAGCGGGCAGTAAGCCGTGAGTCCACAGAGGACCGTGAAAGTTTGCAAATTTCGAGAACTGTTGGGTTTTAGGTGCGGGTATATTGAAGGATCGTAAATAAGTCTCACATCGTCAAGGTGAATGCGACGTCATATCACGTACAATCAGAGTTTATGTGATTATAATAGTTTCCCGGGAATAATTATTTCCAAGCCGACCCGCTAATTACGTAAGCGCTAATTACGTAAGGAAAGGGGAAACCGTAAATCTGTAGACTAACGCGAAAGTTTAGAAATGTTTGAAGGTGTTACGATTTAGAAATGGTTATATGAAATAATTGCAAAATAATTCGTATACCGCCTACAGACAAAACATATGTATAATTGGGAGAGATTTAGTTATAATTACAATTTTCCGAGTATAAAACTCTCTCCCGGTCGGCTCGAAGGCTCAAATTACGAGACACTACAGATGTGATCGCGAAAGTTTGCACATTTGGGAGGTGTTTTGTTTTGAAAACGGGAGTGTAATGAATAATCGTAAAATCATTGCCAATAGGTAGGTAGGACGCATAATTGAAGATTATGTAATTGTAATAATTTCCCAACGAAATTTACGAAAGTAAATCGACTCGAAAACGTGAATTACAAAGAAACCTGGGAGGAGATACTTCGGAAAAACGGATATATCGAGCGATTAGAAAATAATCCTCATGTTGCCACCGGAGGCAAGACGCGTAATTGAAGATTCTATAATAATAATAATTCTCCCCGAGTGCGAAGGTAACTCATCGAATCGAACGCTGAAGCGCTAATTGCGCCCTGAAGCGGCGAATCTACAGGCGGTCTTTCGAAGGTTTGGCAAAAATGGTGGCAAAATAAACATCGAATAAAATGATTCTCATGACCGCCGACGTAGACGGTAGAGACGATAATCGGGCCTGTTATAATTGCAGCAATTTCCCGGTTGCAGAGATAAGTCTGCGAGCCGACCCGGAAAGCGTAAATTGCGTAAGGAGACGAAACCCTGCGCTTATCACCGGCTGCACCCGTACAAGTACATGCTCATTAGCGTAACAATGTGTCGGTCGCTAATGCGACGTGCCGAAGGCGCTTTCGACCGCTGTTCCAATCAAGCTGATGAATTCCGACGGGACTCGCCGGGAGAGCGCCCACGGAAATGAGGGATTCCCGCGCGAGCACACGATAAACGGGAGAAGGGGGTGCAATGGACGCTCGTGTTACCGGCACCGACGGCTATGATGACGAGGAGGACGAAGATGACGGCTACCTGGTGCGATGCGAAGCGATGCTCCTTCGTCCGCGGCCTCAGGCACTCCGCGCACTCCACGTCATCGTCTTCGACCACCGCCTCGTCACGCACTTGCACGCGTGTTCGCTCCTCGTCGAAGTGAGAGATTCGCAGGATCTACGGTAAATACCCCGGCTGTCACTCGCGCCACCGTCGAGTAACACGTGTTCCCGCGACTTGGCTCTCGTCACGACGTCGACGTCGACGACCTCGACGATTACTCTTCGCGTGATGTCTTTCGCTCTCGTGTCTCGCAGGAGACGCGTGTCGGAGGGACGCAAGGACACCTCGGCGAATAAGTAAGTCCTCAGGTTCTTCGGCAGCGCGAAGACGCCGGGACGAAAGCGCTACATCTGAACGAGGTGATCGCTGATAAACGACTGCTCGCTGCTTGCGAAGAGCGATGAAGGAGGCGGAGCTGTCGGTGTGATAAGGAGGATTCGACGGATGATCGACGTCGCGCTCGCGAGCTAACCGGTCGTCCTCTCCGACCCGCCGTTATCGGTCGCGGAACGAGCATCCCAGGACTCAGGGAAGCACCGAGGGTTCTTTCGCGTTTCGTTGAACCCCGACAACTGCTCGCAAGTACTGTGGGAATCCCGAGTCAGAGAGTCGCTTCTCCTGGCACACGTCTTCAGCTTCTATGGTTTCCAGCAGCGTGAGATGGTCGCTGTCCGACCATCAGCCCGCACCTGTCAAGCAGCTCGACCTCGTCTTGTCTTGCATCCAGGACTCAGTGGTCCTCTGCGACAGCCCGAGACGACAACCAGGTCGTCATCATTAGCAGGTACGCTGCTGACGTCCCGGTTCCGGCACGAAAGTTGAAACCTCTCGACGAGGAAACTTCGTCGCGATCGACGCTGCTCGATCGATCTTGTTCTTCAACCCCGGCCAAGAGGAAGAAAACACAGGGGGTTGCCGTCTCGCGCGGGTCCCCACGTGCTGACGGTGGCGTCGGCGACAACGATGACGGCGGGACGTCGTCGTCGGGGGATCCGCGAGTCTTCTCCCTCTCTCTCTCTCTCTCTCTCTTTCTCTCTCTCTCCCTCTCTCTCTCTCTCTCTCTCTCTCTCTCTCTCTCTCTCTCTCTTTCTCTCTCTTCCTCTCTCGCCCTTTCTCCCTCGCAGGCTGAGAGTCTCTCGGGCCGAAGACGAGCGCCGTCGGCGCTCTGTTTACGCGCTAAACGCGGGGGTGAATGCGTCGTGAACGAGCGAGGGGTAGCGCTCGCGGTACGCGCGGCCAGCAGCCAACCAGCGCGCGGCACACACAGCTCGCGAGGCCGCAGTGAACTGTGGGTGGTCGCGCGGACGCTTTCCCGCTTTCCATCGACTCACCTCCGCGCGCCACCACTGTCTCGCTCGCTCTCACTCCCGCTCTCTAGGGGTCTCTTTCTCTCACCCTCCTTTTCAGCCGCTTTCTCTCTCCCTCTCTCTCTCTCTCTCTCTCTCTCTCTCTCTCTCTCTCTCTCTCTCTTTCTGTCTCTTTCCTTCGCTCTCGTTCTCTCTCGGCAGCCCCAGTGTACGACGACGGTGGTAGCAGCGGCGACACAGAAGGGTGCACTCTCCGCCACACATCCTCCCCCCGCGACCACCCTGCTTTTACTTACTCTCTCTCTCTCTCTCTCTCTCTCTCTCTCTCTCTCGCTCTCTCGTTCGCCAGCGTGAGTCTTCGTTCTCAGCTCGTCTCATTCTGTTGCTCGCTCGTCGTTCCTTCCTCCGCCAGCCGACAGGACGGCTGGAGGGTGGTAGTGGTGGTGGTTTTTCAGCGACCCGCGAGGTCGAAGTTAATTCGCGCAACGAGACGAGAGCGGGTTCTCTCGGGGTCAGAGGTCGCGTGACAGTCGCGATCTCTTCATCGCCTCGATTTGTACTAATAAATATTTTGACTGATATTTAATTATATTTTGATGGTCAAGTTGGGGGAGGAGAGAGAGAGAGAGAGAGAGAGAGAGAGAGAGAGAGAGAAAGAGAGAGAGAGAGAGAGAAAGAGAGAGAAAGAGAGAGAGAGAGAGAGAGAGAGAGAGAGAGAGAGAGAGAGAGAGAGAGAGAGAGGAAGGGAAACTGAGTAAGAGAGGAGAGAGGGAAAGATTCTGTCCCAGCTTAAAACGAGAAGATAAACCTCGTTAGTGTTTTTCCGTCTCGCGATTGTTCTGCCGTTAATTCCATTATCTTTCACTCGATTCCGTTGATTCCTGTTATTTTTTCGATTAATCTTATTTTTACGTTCCCCCGAGCATGATTCACGAGAAACCTCCGCTGTTTCCCCGTCTCGCTTTCCGCCTCGAGGATAAATAGAACAAAGACCGCTAGTCGCCAAGTACAATCGCGATATATGGAACATAATTACGAGTGACAACAATATTCTCATAATATAATTGCACTGAACAATATCGCAACATAATTACACGTGACACCTGATTATCTATCAAGATAGACGATATATTTTGATAATAAAATAATAATAAGATATCAAATGCGACGTATTTACATTTAACGATAGCGTAAATTTCGTTTGATCAGAAGACAAACGATAAGATACTCGATAATGAAATAATAAGATATTAAGTGTATAATAATAATTCAATTTTTAACGATAACGCAGCATAATTGCATCCGATAATATTCTCAAGCGTCCAAATTAGTCTCGTTAATCCTTCGGCCCAGCGATTTGCCGGAGGAAAGAAATTGTCCCGATCGCGCAGCGGCGATACCGTCGAAAAAAAAGGATTGACCTGAGCGCAAAATCCATCATCTCTCTTGGATTGTATATATTTCACCTACACCTACCTACCTACCTACACACACCTCTGCGCGCACGTCTGTCCGTTGTTCCGCCGCTGTCGCGGATATATACAAGCGTTCAGTCGCGATAGACATATCGAGTGTGGTGTGTAACGGCGGCGGCGGCGAGACGGAAAAAAAAGTTTTACGGTATAAAATAACGCGCGACGCGCGGAGGAAACCGCGCGGATAGTCCGGCGCTGCCACTCTGATAAAATACCCACACGCGTATACAGGGTGTCTCGACAGAAAGGGACCGACGGAAAGGGCACGTTCCGTGCGCAAAAGTGAAATTTCGAGGGAGTTCTTAATCTCGACGCCAGAACTTCTGGCATCTGTGTTGACTTCAGATTAGTATCGACACCGACAATTGAAGTTAAAGTTAATATTGATTTGAGTTTGTTAGGGATTGAGATAAGATTGGGATAAGGTTGAAGGATATTAATTTGAGATTGTTTCGCGAAACTCTCTTCGATCAAGCTGATCAACGACCGGATCAAAGGAAATTGCCAACACCAATTTCCAGCTGTATTCGTATAATTTGCCGCTCGGAGATCACCGAGAGATTAATCATTTCTATCCAATTTAGAAAAACAAAAAGGGTCACACAAATTTGGCGGAAATGGCGATTTTAAATCGTTGATTAGGCTAATCAGAGTTTGATAGAACTTATCCTCATGGAAAATGAACCTTGCAATTTAATTTTCTGATAACTTTTGGTCGTCTATAATCGACGGACAGTTTCAATATTAATTTTAAAATTAATCCTTAAATTACTTTCAATTTCAAAATTAATTTTTAAATTACTTTGAGTTATATTTACATCATTGATGACATTGATAAAATTGATATTAATATACGGGATGCCCGATAATTCGGGTCCACTCTTACTACACAGCGCCATTCTTCGTAAAATTTTTGACAATTTGTCCTCAATGACAAACGTCGAGAAATATCATTACATACAACGAGTATTCAATGTTTAACACTACACCTTCTTGAAGGTAAGTCTTAGATTAAAATTCATAAGAATAGAAAAAGAATTATAACAACAGATAAGGAAATAAGTAAATAAACGGGAAGAATAAAATTTAAAAAGTTTAAGATAAATAATTGAAGTAAATAAACTGAATACGTAGAATAAAAAGTATATGGAGTAATAAGTAAAATACAACAAAGAGTAAAAAATATAAAGAAACAAACACATAAAATTATCAAAAATTATTCATTCATTCAATCACCCGATTTTATTTGAATTACCAGAAGCACCTTCTATAATAATATATGAAGCATAGAAATAAATGGTTGTGAATAATCGACATCTAACATACGAACTGAATTGAACTTGTTAATCTTTTTAGACGCCGCATCGAGTACAGCTAACCTGAAGAACACCAAGAACACAAGAAGAACGAACGGAAGAAACTGACACACAGGTTCTTCTCCCTATCAGGTATCCTGGCACGATCGAACGCTTATCCTTAAATTATCTTAATGCTAGATACAATCTTAATGCTAAATTCAGCGTGTCTCCCGTCTCCTTTTATATCGCCCTATATTACCTACCCATGCTAGATTACTTCGACCGCGCAATTTGTAAGCTCGCTTCACGACGCGAAAATATTTTCGTATTCCCTTAATTGTCGAAAGTAAAACGAACCCACGCGCCCGCCTGTTTGTACACGTACACGACGGGGATCGCGGGAGTCGCCATGGCCCAGGCTGTGATTAATACTTGCCAGACGGATTAATTGTCGAGGGAGTTTGCTCTCGTGAGCCGAAGAGAAACAGAAGCCGGGCCCGATTCCGCGCGAGAGATGCGCGCCCTCGTGAAATTGATGACAAAAAATGCGCTACACTCCGCTGCCGAATACTGGCGACTATACGAATTTAAATCCTGATAATCAGGCGAAATAATATGCAAAATACAAATGAAGCAACAGTGCAGGCAAAGCCTCGCATAACTTCTTTATTACATGAGATAATCGGAAAATTAGATCGGATATTTGCATTAAAGGAAAATGAACTGAACATGTTGTGCAAGACATTATAATGTAAATATATACCCGCATACATACAAAATATGTACATACATACATGTCGTTGCGTGTATATAAATGTGTAAAAAGAAATATTTTTAGACATATACATTTTGGATACATATATATATATATATATATATATATATATATATATATATATATATATATATATATATACAGGGTGTCCCATTTTAATCCGGCCGGCTGAATAAAATTCGAGGATATTTTCCAGAAAGAAATGTCAGACAAATGTTGCTCAGTTCTAAGGGGGACATTCGATGCCATCAACAATTTTGACCTCGGGTGAAGGGTTCAAGGTCATTCAAGGTCAACTTTTTTTTCTTAAATGGGAACCCCTATTTTTCACATCAGCAATCGATTCTACGTAAAAAAAAAAATGAAACTTTTGTCTGAAGCATTTTTTTTATAACGCAAACTAATTTCACTTATTCAGCCTCCAAAATTGAAATTTTCAAACTTTCTGAATTTTTTACTCGAGAATGATGGGGTTTGGGGGGAAATTGCAGAAGACAAAAAGTTCTTGGAATGCTGCAAGGAATTCACTCGAATTTTCGCATAGTTGATCGTGCACTTTTTTCGAGGTATCTCCTGACAGATAGAACATTGACGGAAAAATGTGCACGATCAACTATGCGAAAATTCGAGTGAATTCCTTGCAGCATTCCAAGAACTTTTTGTCTTCTGCAATTTCCCCCCAAACCCCATCATTCTCGAGTAAAAAATTCAGAAAGTTTGAAAATTTCAATTTTGGAGGCTGAATAAGTGAAATTAGTTTGCGTTATAAAAAAAATGCTTCAGACAAAAGTTTCATTTTTTTTTTTACGTAGAATCGATTGCTGATGTGAAAAATAGGGGTTCCCATTTAAGAAAAAAAAGTTGACCTTGAATGACCTTGAACCCTTCACCCGAGGTCAAAATTGTTGATGGCATCGAATGTCCCCCTTAGAACTGAGCAACATTTGTCTGACATTTCTTTCTGGAAAATATCCTCGAATTTTATTCAGCCGGCCGGATTAAAATGGGACACCCTGTATACTTATTATATATAATAAACTATATAATTTAAATTATATTCACAAAAACATGATTCACGAAAATTACCAAAAATTTATCGAGAGTTGTCAGCAAGAATTACTTACTCTACGCCCTCTCGACAGCAGAATATGATTTCTGAATTTATCAT